TATTATTATTATTATTATTATTATTATTATTATTATTATTATTATTATTATTATTTTGATCTTATAAACTGCAGGTTGATTGCTTCACAATCTCCGTTTAACACCTCGCCCTTAAATGGATTAGATTTCTGGTATTGGAAAAGTTGTGTAAGTTGGCATATGCGTGAAATTGTCTTGATGAAAATTAAGTCCCTTTGAGCTTGAAGATACATATTTCTTTTTTTTTTTTTTAACTTGAACATATCATCTTCCATTAAACAGTGTGTCATCTGTGCTATTACAATTAAAATTTACAGTATTCATTACATTGATAATAGTTCTTTAATCTTACAATATTAGTAATCAGCATTATAACTCTATTCATTTCTCCCTCTTAACGTATCTTCTATAATTAGGGACCAGCTATACAGGTAGTTCTCGACTTACAACAGTTCAATTAGTGACTGTTCAAAGTTACCACGGCGCTGAAAAAAGTGACTTTACGATCATTTTTCACGCTTATGACCCCTATAGCCTCCCCACAGTCACATGATCAAAATTGAACAGTCACTAACAGGCTAGCAATCTATGGATATAAATCAGTTCTGGAAGAAAACAGCTGCAGAAGAAAAAGTCTAACTTGGCTTCAACTATTTCAGAGATTTGGAACAGAGAACATTGTGAATAATAGAGTTGGAAGGGACCTTGGAGGTCTACCTTGGTAGTCCAACCCCTTGCTTGAGACTTTATACCATTTCAGACAAGTGGCTGTCCAGTCTCTTCTTAAAAGCCTCCAGAGATGGAGCAGCCACAAATGAAGAAGCACACAATTGTGCCTACCGTCCCTGTCCTGTTGCCCCCAATTATTAGTTCCTATTTCTTATATTTAAACCTATGTTTATTCTTATTTCTATTGTATTGTAAGCTTTTGACAAAATAAATAAAAATAAAATAAAAACTTCTGGAGGCAACTTCTGTTCCATACAGCTTTTCATGTGTTTTCTCATGTAAGTTTTCATGATGGGGAGATTTTTCAGAAAAATGCTTGCGTGTCAGATCAGAGCCGGCTTTATAATTAACTGAAGAAGACGTGATATTTAGTTGAATTTTCTTCCATCCATGCAATTTTCTAGTTCCTCAAAAATGACCAAAGGAGCTGCTGCCTTTGAGGAAATGTGACCTTTTCGCTCTCCGTGTGAATATTTTTTTTCCCAGCCAACAACACGAATATAAACTTAATCATCAAATCATCAACATTTCTTATTACAGACTAAGAATTAAGTTACAGGGAGCCCTCAATTTACAACAATTCGTTTAGTGGCTGTTGGAAGTTACACAGCGTAGTTTGTCACACGTATGATCGTTAGACAGCTCACGTGATCAAAATTCAGAGGCTTGGCGACTGACTTGCATTTATGACGGTTGCAGTGTCCTTGGGGTCACATCATTCCCCTTTTGTGATCTCCTGGCAAAGTCAAAACCAGATTAACAACCAGGTTACCAGCCACACAAGTGCAGCGATTTCACTTGTGGCAAGAACGGTCGTAAAATGGGGCAAAACTCCCTTAACAAATGTCTCACTTAGCAGCAGGAATTTTGGGCTGAACTGTGGTCGTAAGGTGAGGATTACCTGAACTAATTAAGTTGAAACTTAAAAGTGAAGTAGAATTACGAGCTGGAGCATACCAAATAAAATATATGAGGTGGAAAGACGCAATTGTTTTTGCACTAGTTCCCCGACAGTGGGATAGCAATTTCACAAGCTGCAAAAACAAACTTTACCCTGGGAAGTATTACTTCCTAGTGGGTTACGGATTTAAACTTGAAACAGTTTTTTTGGACTTATTCAAACGAGGTAGAGGTTTCGTTTTTAAGAGGTGAGGTAAAGATTGTGTTTGTTGGATCATTTTACCGGCTCAGTTGGATAGTATTTTACAAATGAATCTTCCTCAAACAATATTCTTTACTAGCTCGATACCTGTGCTTCTTTACGAAACTATGTGGTGGGGTTTAGTTTTTGGGGAGGAAAATAAGTGGGGGGGGGATTCTGCCTCTGCCTATCAGCATCCATCGGTGTTCATCCAGCTAGTGTCCTGCCGGTGTGTGAGAGAGTTGAGGGCTGTTTGGAAACTGAAACAGTATTTACTGTGCAAGCAAAAAGGAGATAGCAAGGAGCTTGGGTGTGGCTTTGCTCAACTGTTCTGTACTAAAGCTCCTTGGTGCTGTGAAAGTAAAACTTAAACTCCTCTCCTCTGCTTGTGTTTTGCATTTGGAAGATATTTCTTTTTTTCAGGTGGGGAGGGGGAGTAGAACTCCTTCGTGTTAATAATAATAATATAGGAAATACTAATGCTCTGATGGTCATTTTGAAAAATCCTTTCTCAGTGAGTACCTAGAAGCCAAGAGGAACATACATGCCAAATTTCAAGTTTGTAGGCTTTACGGTTCTGGAGATTTTGTGATGATGCCTGCGCGGTCTTTCGCTTTTATATATGTAGATGACAAAGCAGATAATCGTGAAGACAATAAGAGCTCAACTGGCTTTAGTTCCATTAGTTGTTTCAGGAACCCTTGGAGAATATTTTTGGCCTCATATTCTCAAGGAACACCCAGCAACAGCTTTTAAATTGTATTAAGAAGGTTTTGTGTGGTTTGCTCCTTGTCATTTCTGCGCTTTTTAGGCCTGACGCACCACTTATAACTTATCTTCCCTGTCCATATTAGCAACAGAATGTAGAGTTAGAAGTTATCTTCATAAAATTATGTGTTTGAACCGTCTTCCTTCTTTCCAACGTATTTGAGGGACTCATTTCAAATGGGCTTAAATAAGAAAAAAAAAGAGGTGTGTGGTTGTGTTTAAAAAAGGGGTTGGTTGGATTTCCGGTCTGCAGCGCTTCGGAGCAGGTAGGAATCCGTGACTGTGCGCGGTTTCTGCCTGTGTTCACTGCCTGAGTGCCCCGAGCCATTTGGCTTCGGGGCTAAGCCACCTCCGTAGAAGGTGGCGAAGACAGGGGGCGTCTGGCAGGGTCGAGAGACATCGCACCTCTCTTCCCTAGCAGGCTAAACCCCCTTTTCCAAAGGCAGCTGAGCGGCGGTCAGCAATGGCCGCCACATAGAAGAGCTCAGCCGGAAAAAGAAAGTGCAGGAGGAGCTGTCAAGAAATGAAAGTGATCTTTGCTGACCGGGACAAAGTAACAGTGAAAGTACCCTGGAATTTAAAGCTTATTAAAGATACATTGTTTCCAGAATGTGTCAAGCGGCGAATGGAAATTAAAGGAAAAACTTTTTGTC